ACCTGGCCAAATTTCTCCGTGTTTACCTCCACATCGAGCCCAAACGCAAAAGCTGGAACAGAAACGAAACGAACACGGCCCGATTTGCCTTCTTCTATATCGACCAGGGCTTTCACCACGCCGCAAGGACACTCGATGAAGACAGGTACTTCACCCACACTGGAGCGCGACACGTCCGTGCTGAGAAGGCCCGAGTCGACAGCGTAGCGGCCGAGTGCTATGACAGCGTGGCCACACATGGTGCTATATCCTTCGTTATGCATGAAAATGACGCCCAAATCGGCCATTTCGCTGTGTGGTTGGACGACCACAGCACCATACATCTCATCATGTCCGCGAGGTTCAAACATCAAGAGCTTGCGAAGGTGATCAAGGTGTTCTCGAACGTACCGTCTTTTGTCCAGAATAGTGTCTCCTTTAATCTCGGGGAAGCCAGAACCGATTATTCGCAACGGTTCTCCTCCCGTGTGCATCTCAATTGTTGCGATCTCTAATCCGTTTTCTTCCATCGTGACAACCAGTAACGAATGATTCGAGCAAGTCAACACGAGTTCAGCTGATTTGAAAACTGTTGTTGTGTTCGACTTCCGGTGCACCTCCCGCGCGCATGTCCCACGAAAAGGCGGGGAATCAAAACAGATGATAAGCGCCCAAAGATTTCAAGTCATTCGCACTTTCATGACCTCAAGCTTTATTCTCCTCTCGTATCCCTTGAAGTAAGATTGCTCCTTACGAACTTTGGTAAAAAACAACAACGACAAAAATAAAGAACCAAAACAAAAAAATCCAACTGTTCCCCGCGTGTATTTTAAAATTTCAACAATGGTGTAAATTTGAATTTGCCTTCTTTTGGGAACAAAAAATAAAAGGCTCAAGACCGTATCCGTGGAAACAGTCCGTATGATAAAACGAATGATTCGAGCAAGTTTATGATAAAATTCCGACTAAGAGAGAACCAAACGAAACACTCGCATGTATAATCCTAGGCACAAGGAAAATGACAACCACACGTATATATTCCACAAATAAGGAATCATTTAGGGTGGCTTTATAGTTTTTACCTCCATCTAGAGTGTCTGCACTGTTGACGCCCAGAAGGCCGAAACAGTACTGTCTGCAGTTCTATACATATGTATATACGTAAATCATCTCTATTGTTTGCTAGAACAAACAAAGCCGCATCAAGGGAGAGGCAAGACCGAGGCCGTTCCCCACTGATGAGGCCCGCGGGTGGGAAAGTGTGGGTAAAAAAATCAAAGGCCAGCTATCAGGTCTAGGGCGAACTAACAGGGATGCAGTCGTTAACGAAACCAGCGCGCTTTGGCTGCCTGGCTCCGTTAATTGACCACTCCCCATGGGGGCTTTTCAGGGCCAATTCCCACCCAGCAGCCACCCCAGGGGAGGACATCCATCACACAGTAATCTCGTGCGTGGGAAATTTACGTCTCCTACCCCTAACCCTGCAGGAGACGGGACCTCCATTTATTCGTCCCTATCCGAGAAGACCAGAGTATCTAACCATTTCTTGGTATAGAAACATAGAATATTCTTCTCACTTGTTTTAAGACCTTCAGTGTTGGTCCGGCCGGGGCTCGAACCCTCGACCTCCCGCACAACAGTCCAGCGCTCTATCCATTGAGCTATCTGGGAGGCGGTTGGTTATTCCAGGCAGCCAGTACTCTAACTTATACTTTTGAACATTCTCTTTGTTGTAACTTTTTTTTAGCAAGAGTGAGTACAAATAAAGATTGTTGTTGTTGTAGTGATAGAGACACAGTTAATGAATAACTAACGGATGCTACGTATTATACTGCCATTGGACGGTATCCAATACCTCACATTTCACGGTAACCTTGTCATGTAATTACCCACCCTTGATGAGACGCGGCGTCATACAGAGGTAGGGTCATTTGAAACAGATAATGTGATTTTGTCTACTAAGTTAAAAATATAAGTTTGCCACCGTGAAAGAGTTTCTAAGCTGTCTTTTCGAGCGTTCGCTTCTTGTTTCGCTCTGACGAAGGGCTAACGCCCAGTGGCCAATTTAGACAATTTACATCATGGACTCAGTTGACAAAATCACATTGTTTTGTCATACTCCCCCATCGACTACGGCAGCACCACAATTTTTCAAGAAACTTACCTCTTAATATATTTAGAAATTCGAGAGAAGTG